CTGCTTGCAGCTGGTGCCGCCGATCCGGTTGCACCACGGCCGGTTTTTGCTGCAGCACCTTTGCGCTTGACGACCAAGCAAAGAATCCGACCATAGATGCTGAAGCCATCGTAAGACGTGTTGAGCATGAGTTTCTTCTTGTCTTCACTCTCGTCTCCCAGTTCATCGTCCTCGGTCTGCCTTCTTTTTCTTCGCCGAGACGAGAGCTGCAAGCCATCATCGGAGTCGCTCGAATTTTCGTTGACAAAAAGTGCATCGGGGCTGCCTGGTCTTTCTCCATTGCCAGCGACAGCAGGCGCCTCGGGTATATCTGAAAGTGAGACCGGCTGGTCCTCGTCTTCATCTCTGACCGTGATGGTCTCTTGTGGCTTCTCAGTAGCCAAGTCAACCGGGTTCTCGCTCGTCTTACCGGGTGTAAGCCATCCAGTTAATTTTCCAGAGTTGCTTTTGAGACGAGGTTTCTCGTTGAACTTTTTCTGTTTGGTGAGCAATGAATGTGGCGTAGAGTTGTCCGTCAGGAATATGGAAACTTCAAAATCATCTGCAGGCAACACGTTAGCTTTCACAAGAATGAAAGGGTTGATTTCAAAAAGAATTTCCCAAGTGCTCTAAGGCGTATGATATCATGCATCATGGGTTGTTTTATGCTTACCTCCAGCAACCACGTCCTTGACGCCCTTTTTGCTCTTGCCTCGACCTTTCGCCCGTTCCTTTTCTTCCCACAGTTTTGGAAGCACCAACGGCCTAACAGCTTCTATTATTCGAGGCAGGGCTGGATCACTTTGACGAAGCAGCCAGGTATCGCCGTGGGCAGGATTGTCGAGATAGATTCGGACTTCGAGCGCGGAGTGTCTTGTTATTCGGAGGTAGCGACGAATTGGCGCCATGAGTGCTTGCGGACCAGGTTTGCGCCTGTCGTAAAGGGGAAGCCTAAGAGTGTGTCTTTTAGAGCTTCTTTTCGCAACTGAGACTCGACCGATGTTTGCGATGTTTGGCTGCGGGGATGTAAGGTGTGAGGATGCGGAGCAGCGATGACGTTCGGAGGTTTTGCGGAGGATCTGAGCTTCCCGCAAAATGGAAGCTCCCCTGCGACACCTTCCCTGTCTCAACACCAACCAACCGCAAATTCCACATCATGGTTTTGGAGATTCACGTTTGGGGACCAGGCTTTGGCCTTCCTTCCGTGGACCCAGAATGCATCGCCATCATCGCGTATGCGCAGCAGACACTGCGCGACGGCGCCTGGGCAGTGGTCGCTGCTCACGACGTGTCGCTGAGCCCGAACAGTGCGTGCGTCTCAGGAGACTAACTCTGCAACGAATTCGAATGCTCACTTTTATCAGAGACCTTTCCTGCGCTCCGTAACGGCCCAACCTGGATCAGCGGGTTCCACGCCATTGTACAATATTTGCACAAGCATAGCGCTATTGAGCGCAGGCTCGATGAGGAACTCAGCGAGCGGAAACGCGCTGATATTATCGCGTGCGTATTGAATTTCCATATCACTCCACGAGGCACTTCAGCTGATAGGCTGAGTCTACTAGCTACTCCTCGTTCCTTCGAACCAACGCTCTTCCACTCGTCGACCTCAACCTCTACGTCTCATCTGCAAACTACTACTCTGTCACCTCTCCGGCATATACAAACCTCCTCCCCGCGCATCTGAATTACACTGTTCCTGGGGCTCGTCGTGAGGCGGCGCGGGCACGAACACAACATTTGGGGTTGAAAGACTTTGATTTGGATACTTTTGCAGACAACGAAGGCATCGTTGATGACAGTTTTTCGGCTGCGAAAAAGAATGCTGGAATCCAAGACCAAGGGCCGGCACCATATCGCCAGAGTCTCATATTTGGCAAAGGCAGGGGCCTGAGGGGATTCCTAGGCCAGCCTGAGTACGCGGCGCGCTTCAAGCTCACATCAGTCGCTGATGACTGCTTGGCACCGCTTGACGCCCTTTTGGAAGAAAAGGAGTTTCTGCTCAAGAGCGATCATCCGACAACCTTGGACTGTCTGGCTTTTGGATATCTCGCATTGATGCTGTATCCAGAAATGCCCTCTCCATGGTTGTCGGACCACATCAGGACCCGTTATCTGCATCTCGAGGAATACATCAATCGCATGCGCTCCCTGACAGTCGGAGGAGAAAATCCGAAACCGTCCGACTTCATGGCGCTGAACGACTTGCGCCGCAGCCCCGAGCTGATTTCTCAAGGCCGCAGGGAGCTTGGTCTGTTGCTGCCGTGGGCACCTTCCCCGCCAGTCACAGCAATGAGCACAATCTCCAACATTGCTCACAACATCACTGCTACAATTCCTGGACTGAATCGCCTGGTTCTTCCGAGTCCCGTCATTCCACCGCCAGGGAAGAAGCTGTATGATCCTCCGGAGCCATTAATTTACGGCTTGTCGACATTCTTGGCATCGCTTGCTGTCGGGGTTTTCGGAGCCGCCTACTATGTCCAGACTCATCCGCGCCCATATGATAAAATCTTCCGAAACGAAGAAGCATATGAAAGGCAAATGGAGAGGTTCTCCGGTCTGGGAGACGCTGGGGGATTTTTGTCGGCATTGGGAACACATTACAGCCAGGAGATGGAGTGGCAGAGGCAAGCGGAGCTGCAAATCCAAAGTGAAAGAGCTCAAACAGAACCAGTGGTCGAGGCTGGAATCACATATAATGGAGTAGAAGGGAGAATCGGCGAGAAAGGGGAGCCGGGTATTCAGTAGACATTTTGGCATTTGCCGCGGGATGAACGTCACTCTACTCCGAAAACAAATCAAGACATTCCTCAAGTTGCTTGTGCAGGGAAGAGACCAAGCTTTTGTCAGATCGAGACGTTCCAAAAGTCTGTCGAGGCGGCTTACATGAGCCGGAGTTGGATACTACCCGTTGGAGTCCCAAAACCAAAAGATGAGTGATTGGAGGGGTATTCCACAAGGAGTGGATACCGCTTGTGCGTCGTCCAAGGAGAGATTGTTCTCTCTGTCCCTCATCATCGGTATGAGTGTCTACCTCCTCAAAGCAACTCGTTCTTTCTTGATATTGCACTTGCAGATGGAGTCCTTGCACGTTGAAGTGGCCTTATTGAGAGAAACTTCGAGTTGCTGTCAAACTTTGAAAGACATTAGTATCGCTTGCGAACTGCGGTCGTAATCTAGCGGCATTCCACACAAAATGTACAGAGCTATTGGGCAGTGGAAGCAAAACCGCACCAAGACAGACCGCTACCCAGACAGTCTCTGAACTCGGAAGGCGACTGGATTCATGGAGGCTGCTCCCAGGTCAGCGATCATCGATTGGGCGATCGCCGCATCTGGCAGGCTACATGTAGTCATCAAGGATTCGCCGGTGAATTCACCTGTGGGCTAGGTGGGTGTATCATTGTTGGCTCGGACTCTCTTGAAGTGTTCTTGCTGTGCATTTGAATCATGGCGTGAGGCGGTGGTGTGGGACAGCATTAAGGACGGGACGGAGACGGAAAGCTGGAGTGAGATGTTCAAGCAGAGGTTGTTTGTGGGTGCCTCCTTCCTGATCTGGCATCTGGTCGTTGCCGGGACGGACGAATCAGGTACGCGGACTACAAGATTGAACGTCGTAGCATCCGGGGTACGGTTGATTCAAACGGGGGTACGGAACTTCAACAACCACCCGAAAGTCTCCCACAACGACTGGGTGGCGAAATCTGGGGAGTGCAATCGTCAACTTAAGCGGGATGTGCAGAAACCATAGTGACTGAATGACTGACTCCCCGGTTTTGAATTTGACTCCACCCTCTTCTGGCTCAACCTTTGCATACCCTGAGCCTGTGCTGTTCAAAGTAGCGAGCGTGTGCTTTTTGTTGGCGCTGAAATTCTATCCTATAAAGTCGAGGAGAAAGTGGCAGATGGACCAATAGGTGGGATGGCGGGTACCCCAGGGTGGCGGAGAAGACCGAGGGGTAGACTGGTGGTGGAGGCAGAGAGTGAAGCCGCAGAGGTGGAGGAGGGCAGCCGCGGAATGAGGGGTGACATACCCAATGCGGTAATTTCTGTAACTTCAAACGTAGTGACAATTTCACCTGCCTTGGTGGACCGTATATGCTAAGTGGGTGCAGTCGGAACCACAAGAAGTAGGTGAAGTGAGAGAGATTGGGTTGGCAAAGTGAGTTGTCCAAAAAGGAGATCTTGTTCCCCGCTGCTAAAGCTGCGTCGATCCGTTCTTGAGTAGAATTTTCGCAGTGCAATCCTATGTGGCTCGTTGCTTCCTCGCGGCTCTAGTCAGTCGGCTGAAGAAGTCGAATTTGCTCTCACTCAGTTGCCGAGCTAGCGGCTTGCTCACTTCAGTCGTCAGGATCCAAGAATTGTGATATGTAGCTTGAGATTCGCTTTGTATGTCAGGCGAACTTTTGTTTGGATTCAGCCTGCACCTGCCGTCCTGAAAAGAAAAAGTTGTTGTGTAGTGTGGAAGGCGCAACGGGACCTCAAACAACGCGAGGTCATCCAAACAACCACTTCTTATGGAGTTGAGAGACGACCAAACCGATCTTCGTCGAAATATCTTGGAGGACTCCTCAATGATGATTGAGATGACTTTGTGGCGCAAAATTGACCAAATTTTTGGCATTTGCGTCGTCGCAGGAGCAAACGACATAAGCCGTCTTGTCCATGTTGATGACGAGACTGAAATGACTTGAAACTTGTTGTAATCGGAAATTGAAAACATCAAAGGTTATGAGCTACCGGGCGAGCATTTTGAACGGCAATTTTGTGCGTGTATTGTGAAGCGTCGGTTTGGTTGGTTGTTCGATTTGCCCCCTTCCACACCCCCTTTTCCGCCCCCTTTTCCGCCCTTCAAAGCCAGTATCTCAACCCCCACATATGATTTAGACCCCAAGATACTTGGAGCTTGTTTCTGGGTCTGTAATAGAGCCTGGGGAGCAACGAAAATACTTGTAGGTCCGGCAAATTGCCGCAATTGCACTTGATATTGACAAAATTCCCTCCTTTCCTTCAACAAGTCTTCGATGGTCTAGTGGTCATGATTTCCGCTTGTCAAGATGGATTTCTTGCAAGCGCGGGAGACCGGGGTTCGATTCCCCGTCGGAGAGACCTCCATCTCATGTCTAAAGGCATGAAAATAATCTTTTGTTTTGTAGTGAATGATTTTCTCTTTTTTTTTAATTTTTTTTGGCCGTTCCTGCCCATTGTAGGATCTCGTTGGCCTTTCCCACGTTTCCCCCAGCCTCGAGAAACACACCTGCTACTTTGGGAGGGTCTTTTTCATATCTTTCATCGAGCATTCGGTCCGAGGGTGGATACGTGAGAGGTAACCATCACTTGCTTATATTATCACATCACCACATGTTTACCTTGTTTTATATTGACAGACTGTTTTATGTCGTCAAGATGTAGAGGTCTGAGAATGGACAGGCAAGGGAGAACGGCACTGACTTGCAAAACTCGTGCAAGTGGCACATGGCCGTTTGAAGGATCAGTGAGTGTTCACATCATCAACAGCAGGTGAACAAAATTATCCAAAGTCTCTATTACGACAGTGATGTACAGGGAGCCTCAAGACTAGCACAGGAAACAAATACAAGCGGCGTGGTGTGTTTATTTTCTGCCGAGGCTCAGTCGTACAAGGAGTGCTCGCTTAGATGGCTTAGATGCCTTAGCCGACCAACCATCGAGCGCCGTGCTTGCTACCCGAATGTACGTATATGCAGTGTGAGGACGCAGCAGATAAGCCTCGTCATCTTCCAAATGAATTCATAACTATATCCGAAGAATGGGGGCATCGGGGCATGTCGACTGCTGGGTGACTGATTCCACGCGTTGCAGTGCGAGACGTGATCGCCGCAGGGCACGGCGACTTATCAACACCAATGCCTACTGCACCTTTGCTAGAACTGCTTTCCCATCGTCTCGGAGAAAAGTCCTCATTGCCTCATATGTGTTAAGTCACGAAATATCTAGCAAAGCAAACAGCAAAAAGGGGCCCGGTCATTTAGGAAGCTTCTACCCAGGAGAGCGCACAGACCCAGACGGTTATTGAGGCTTCCCACCATTTTCAACACCATCAGGCTGCTCAGGTACGCAATGACGGAAGCGCTCTGGCGAAGTTCGACGTAGGTAGGCGCGTTAGTGTGCTCGACGACACGTTCGGAAGCAGCGTTATGTTGAAGCCTACGAAGCCTCCCCGTCGCGTCGCGTCACGTTCGACTTGGGCGTTTCTGCAATGCCGCCGCCGCTAAGTCCACTGGCCGTGGGTATGATGACTCCCGGTCCCCTGGTTTTGAGCCCAGCACTGTCACAAAGAATCCGACCAGTATTGTTCAGACGAGTTGGCATTGCTGGCTGACATAAACACGGGAGAACCGTCATGTCTCCAGAGCCGAGGGCGGGCTGTCCCAATTGCTCGTCCCGCAGTCTTCTCCGCTGCTGGCACTGTGGCAGTGGTCTTCTGGCCGCTATCGGCGTTAGATAGGAATTCGTCTCAGATTTCGCTACCCGTGAAATATCGAGCATGCTTCTCAACGGCTCAAACCCTGCGACTGATGGTCAAATTCTTTTGCATGGGCCAGATCACGCCCTTGAATATCAAGCAGGTAGCCGTCGAGCAGACATGGCCGGGTCCGGGTCTTTGACGGAAAGTGGAGGACGTCCATGTTCAGATGATGCGTCCCCGCATTGTTATGGTAACGCGGGAGCCGTCTGCCCTTGTTTTGCGTTTTCCTTGACGGGAAAGGCCTCAGGAGGGAGCTAGCCGAAGAGGGGACGACTCCTGACTAAGTCTTGTGCAGGGACAGGATTGCCTTGGGGCCAAAAGTAGCTTTGGAGCGATGGGGTATAGCTGCCGCGCTCAACCGGGGAGCGGTCGAAGGTAAGTAGGACTTTTTTGAAACCGGACGAGACGAACTTGTCGGCCATCAGCCTCGCAGTCGCAGCAGGCAGGCAGTAGAGCAGGCAGCATGTGACGGGGGCATGGACGAGCGTACAGAGGCAGCAACAATGAACGACGTGAAGTGATAGGAAAATGGACTGTGTTAATATCACAGCTGCATGTACAACTCAGGTGGCAGCAAGCGGCGGGGACTAGGCGAGAGCTGGGAGGGAGCTTTGGACGTCTGTCTGGGGGACTCTGCTCTCTGGGTGGTGGAAGCTTGCCGCCCTCTCGCCTACAACCGATCGCCCTTTCGCCTTGCTTCCAACCCCTCTCGCCGTCGCCGCCGCACATCATCCACCACAAACACCACGAACGACGTTTGACTCCCATCTTCCCTCAACTTTTGCGTGTCGTCGTCGACCCCGGCCCGAGGCTGCAGCTGTTTGTGCGTTGCTTGCTTGCTTTGCCGCCATGACCTCCTAATTTGCCGCATCCACTCCACCCACTTCCGTCGCTCGCTCGCTCCATCACTCGTCGACGATACGCCGCAGCCGATTATTTCGCAGTGCACTTGACGGCTGGCCGCATCTGATTCTCCCTTGGCCCTCGCACGCATTTCGCCCGACGACGTCCTGCACACGCACACGCTCCCTCGTGAGGTCCGGGTCGATGATCAGTGCGGGCCCATCACCGAGCGTGCGGCCCTGACTTTGGTTGAGCACTCCTCGCCGCGCTTCCGCCGTGTCACCCTCGCGTTGCCGCTACCACCCTCGATTCTTTCCACACCCATCATGGACCGCTCGTCCACTGCGAGCGGCGCCGCTGCCTCACACGAAACCTCGACATATCCTTCCTTCGCCTCGACCGCCACCTCCATGCCTCCGTCCGCATCCTCCCACAAATCCTCGAACCCTGCTCCCTCTTCTACACAAACCATGCCCGATCACCGTGAGGTCTCCCAGACCGTCCAGACACAAGTCTTGGATCCGCACGCATCTCTCGGCCAGCTTTCCTATGGGCCCGCCACCCAGACCACCGTCGTGACGACCACGACTACAACAACCACTTCTTTTCCGCCTCTGCTTCTCAACGCTCCTCGCCACTTGAATCAACGCGATCCGAAGCAGTACCCCTTGGCTGCCTCGCCGACGCCACAGTCCATCAAAGACTTTAGCTTCAGCATCGGCGGCCGAGAGGCTCGCTTTCGGGAAGCAGACGATGCCCAGCAGACTTTTGACGAGGTGCGTTCAGAAAAAGCCCGTAGCTGTGTTATGCAAGGGCTCGGTTACTCACAACTCGTCCTTTTGGGCATGGTAAACTAACACAACCTTAGTACAAAACGCAGCAGGCCAGTCTTCGAGCTACCAACGGTACAATCTCCAAATCGGCCGACGTATCTCGCCCTGAAGCATCAAGGAGAACCCAAAAGTCCAAGGCTCCCTCTGATGTCCCCACCCAGCCGGCAACCAATCCAAGAAAAAGGTCCGCGTCTCCCGTGTCCATCGCCGAAGCTGCTGAGCGTGCGAGCCACCAACGCAAGCGGTTACGTCCAAGCGTGAATACTCTTTCTGCTGGCTCAGCGTATCCTCCCTCGCTTACCCGGAACAACTCTTTCCAAGCTACAAAGTATCTTGACACGACTGCCCCGGCTACTCCGGATACAGATGCTGGTAGTACGGGACAAACCAAAATACAAAAAGTGCGGAAGGCGGCGAACAGACCGAGCTCTAGAGCGGGTAAGAAGAGCGTCCAAGGCGAAAAGAGGCTATCAAACCTAAAGCATGTGTCTGAAGAGGGATCGATCCAAGATGAACCAGGTGATAGCCAGGCAACTCAACCTCCTGAAACGGGCAGGGCGGCGAACTTGAGAAGATCTACTGACCCAAGAGAGTCACAATTTTCGATCACGGGTATTGATGGTCAGGCTAGCGGAGTTTCCGCGACCCCACCGATCGCCGAGACAGACTTGGAGCCGATATTGCCTATAGAAGAGAACGACACCCGTCCCCGGATAGCACATCCAAATTCTCTCCAGAATATTGCCAACCAGGACGCGAGCCTTCCGAGTCCCAGCCTCTCGCCAATCACTGCCGCTGCCAATTTGGCCCAGCATGCTGCTCTGCCTGGGTTGATGGGCGTGGAGGAAGAAGATGATGAGAATGACGTGTCGAGCTTAGACATTGAAAGAGAAAGGGAGGAGGAGGGCAGCAGCAGAAGATCTCGGGATCTGGTACCAGCTCATCGGGCTTCTGAAGAAGCTGGAAGTGTCACAAAATTCACGGCTGACTCTCATCCCCCCGCCCCCACTTTGAGAGATCTCCCCGTGATGGTTGACGCCTTCGATTCCATGCCCGACGACCTCAAGACCTACGTTATGTACCAGTTCCTTCGGCGTTGTGCCAAGTCGACGTTACACTTCGTTGCAAACGTAGTCAATCCCGCCTTGAAAATCGACTTCTTGGCCCACCTCCCCATGGAGTTGAGCTTGAACATTACGTCCAACCTTGACGCGCAAAGCATGTGCCGAGCCGCCCAAGTTTCGAGAAAGTGGAGGGATGTCGTCAACAGAGACGAAAGAGCGTGGAAAAATCTGTTGGACATTGATGGGTATCAACTCCCTGAGGGCGAACTGGAGCGGGCGATCAAGGAAGGCTGGGGCTGGCAATTTGGGCAAGACAGTCATGAGAAGGATCTCAGTGGCTCTTCGGCAATCATTACCATTTCCGACAGCGAGGCGTCGTCGTCGCCGCTGACAGCCCCGCTAGCCACCGGTGGATCGACGCGGGGAAAGCGTAAAGCTACGTCGAGGCAGGCCACCAGCAACAAAAGGCAGAGAAGAAAGGGTCCCGCTACTTCTCCTTCGAGGAGTCAACTTCAAGTCCCTGCAGCTCTGCAGTCTACCTTGAAAGGCCCAAGTACCTACGCCAGCCTGGCAGCCGCGGCGGTTCCACAACCCACTATTGGCTTGCCCGATCTGCGACAGCTCCACCTGTTCAAATCGCTCTACCAGCGTCATCACCTGATCCGCAAGAGCTGGATGGACATCCACGCAAAGCCAAAGCACATAGCCTTTCGTGCGCATCAACGTCATGTCGTCACTTGCTTGCAGTTCGACACCGACAAAATTCTCACCGGTAGCGATGACACCAATATTAATGTCTACGACACAAAGACGGGCCAGCTGCGGAATAGGCTCATTGGCCACGAAGGAGGAGTTTGGGC